TCTCTTTTCAGTGTAAGATTATTTTTTTGTGTGTTGATCAAGCGTTTTACCTGAACAAAACTCCTCAAACTCTTTGGAATGACCCTCATTTTAAGAGATTACGTCATCCTGCAAATAATGGCTTTGTCTTTGGTTTCACTTTTCTTTTTGGGTGAAATTAATTAATTCTGTTGGATGAAATCAATGAAATATTAGGCTCACTAAACCGAGCTGAGCTGATACAATGACAAGGGTTGTATAATATTTATGTATTATTATAACTAAAATTTTAAATGATTACTGTTATTGTTAAGTATTAATCACACGCACGACTTTTACCCACACCCACACCCACGACCCACGACTTGTACCCACGACCATTAGTCAAACTCCAAATTTCCAAGGGGCAACTATCAGACCGATAGTTCCGAGACATAAACACTCTATTGTCTTTATTGTTCACTACTAAATTTTCTTCCGCGCGCCAGTTTAAAAACAATCAATAATTATGATCGAGTAAAACCTCCATTAACAAGTAGTGTTTACAATTACAGCCACCTATCACCCCTCCCTGAGTAATAACATTCTTCCCCCACCCCTCCCTCAGTACTTGTCGACTGCACCCACCCCTCCCTGAGTATTAAAGGTGTGCCTCCCCACTTATAGAATGGTCCAAAAAATCGTCAAAAAAATAGTTAAAAAAATAGTCTAGTCCAGTCTATATTTTACCCTATGCCTGCACATCCCGGAGGTCGTTGCAGATTATGTTCACAAAGTGGCTCGATCCAGCTGTATACTGGAGTGCGAGGTGAAACAACAATAAAAAACAACAATAAAAAACAACTATAAAAAACAACAATAAAAAACAACAATAAAAAACAACTATAAAAAACAATAAAAAACAACAATAAAAAACAACAATAAAAAAGAGGGTGATGAAGGCGTGGAGAACCAAATCTGAAGTGAAAAGGTTGGAAAATAGTGTATGGTACCTCCACACTGATATCGGGACGAAGAGTGTTTCATTTGTTGCGCTGAAGTGCCTCGTTCGGCAAACAAATAGGAAGGTTCTGGAATTAGACATTGTGCTTGACAAGATAATTAAAATACCTTGAAATAAAAACGTTCTGTTAAGTACCGTGTCAGAAAACCTTAGAATCTTCTCGGCGTTAACACTATTCTTACGAGTCTGTGGTATCACAAAGTACAGCCGTGAATTTTTTATTTCTTGATGAACTTAAGCAGACCCTGTACTACAGAAAACATTAGTCTTTCACTTCCTCAACACATCGGCTCTTCCCGCACCCGTACCGTTAAAAAAGTACTACTCGACATGCGTTAAGTCTAACAAAATTATGCGATCCCTTCTGATGTCAGCTCTTTAAAGGAAAAAAATAGCTGATCGCTTAGGGTACACCCAAAACGAAAAAAAAAACAACAAAAAAAACAGATATTTACTTAACGTCAGAGCTCTTTGCATTCGGTGGTGAACTACGCGGTTCTTCTTAAAACGCTAGACTAGATTTTCATGCTGTTTTCCCCGAGTCCGCTCTTTAATCAGAGGAACGTGAGCCTACTTCCCAGCCCGCTGTTGATAATCGAGCCTCACTTGCGCATGCTTAAGGGTGCATTCAACTGTTTTGGCAACTGGTGATCGTTGAAACGTGGACGGGAAACAGTGCTTCCGTTTTCCAGTGTAGACAAATCAGTTGCGTTTTCAAATCCATCCGACTCAGCATGGAGGGGGGATTCATTCACGCTACTAGGATTAAACGGCTGCGCCTGTCTAGAGGACATACAGTGAGGAATAATAACAAGAGTGCTCTCAGAGTGCACGTATGATATTTTTAATTGATCACGTGTGCAGGACAAAAAGTAACACTCAAAAATTTTACTAAATCTTAATCTTTTTCAAAAGGTGAGCGTAATGTTCGTCAAGAACCAATGTATATCACACAGTAATATAATTTAATAGCAGCACAACTTTTATCTATCTTTAAATTTCTAGTAGTGGTGACAATAAAAGTAAGATATGTTAAAATTTACTCCTAAAAGTTCTATTTTAAATTTTCTTCCAAAAAAACCTTGATGTTGTATACTTCTCATCAATTCAGAGCATGCAAGTCCTTCTCGTTCAGATGGTGAGAACAATTCTCAAAAGGGTTTAGATTTTCTTAGAATACCGAATGTATTCTTTTGAGAAAATGTAAAAGTCAACCTTTAAGATTAACAATAGTTTCAGTCCTTCACTTTCTAATCCCTCTTTTTATCTTGGGAAGGAATAAATACATTTAAATTTTCACCAATTTTAAAGGCATATTCGCTCACATCACCAAGTTCATGATTGTTATTCAGTTCCAGTATGGAATGTACGAGCCTATTCTGGTGTACTTTCCCAGTTTGTAAACCCCCCACGCAAGGAAAATCCCTACAAAAGCTTTCAATGAGAGGCGTATAAGCCTACTTGCTCTGCTTGCTTCTGGAATTCTGGAAGAAGTGAAAGAAACATTTCATTGAGTACACTATTCTCACGTTGGATAAGCTTGTGTGCTACAAACCAGCCTACACTGTGTGATATCCAGCCTTTGGAAGCGCATGGTATTCAAGATTTGATGGAACTGTACCCACGAGGCTTGCGTGATTCATACGCATCGCTTTCGGGCCGCCTCGCCAAACGAAACCGAGGGAAGAAAATAAAAGGTTCTGTTTCATAGTTTGAAAAACCATGTTCGCGTAAGGTTGACACCCGACACAAAAGGAAACCCATCTCTCATTTAACTACTTTCTTACACTCAAGGATAAAACCGCAGGCCACAATGGTTAAAACTGAGCCCTCTTAAGACTCCAATAACATTGCACATGGGGTAACTTACATTGCAGGCAATCTGTAACGGTTAGTGAAGAACGCCTTTCAACGTCGAGTCAAGGTCTGCTATGTATAATCACAGGGAATGTTACTCGCGCAGATCTCACATGCTTTTGAAGACGAAATGGTTTTATAACCCAAGAAATAAAACAAAAGCTTACCTTAGTAGTTCTTTCACGTCAATGTCCTTTTCCCAATTATCAGTAATTCCGTCCACATGTCCTATTCCGACTACACCCACCACAACACTAGGGACAACTCCTTGAGGTTCTGCAACAGCACAAGAAACCAGTAAGTAAAGTTTTTGAAACAACTAACTATAAGCAAAGGAACACGAAGTTGTGGCAGAGGTCCTTCATTATGGGAAGCACAGGCAGGTACAGGTAAATACTCCTCGAGAGGTAGCACTAAGCAGTGGTTAACGTACATTGAAATCTGTTGGACGAAGTTTTTTTTGCCAAAGCACAGAAACATATTCTGGACGAACAAAGCAGATCTCTACCTTCGCTTTGAATCATTCAACGGTCTCGAGATGCAATGTTTGTGCATCATGAGTTCAGCATTTGCAGTCATTTTCTCCTTTTATTTTTTAGAACCTACTGAGCTTATTCAATGTATTGTGGTACCTTTCGATTAAAAGTTGGTTTTGCAGCCACTCAAACTAATGCAACGTTTCCAAGTTGAATTCACTGGTTGAAATTCTTGCATACAATAACAACAACGCGTGCGACAAGCTCACAGCAAAGGTTAATATTACACAATGAATTGTGTTCTCTAAATAATGTTCTTACTTATACAAAAGTGTTTTGTGAGAGGGATGGCTAAATGGCCAAAGCTATATTATTTTTCATGACCAGAACACAGAGGTGCACGCGGTGACCAGAAGCAGATCAAGGCAAATAAAAATGAAACAAGCTGAGGCATCAAAAGCCATAAAATGGACAAAGTTAAATAAAATGGAAATTCACAGTGATGATATACTACCAAATAAATAAACCTGTCACTTACCTCCATCAGCATTGTGGATTTCAATTGGCATGGCAGATAATCTTATTGATCTTGCAAGATATTGATCTCTTTCAGAAACAAAAACTTTATACAAGGTGGGGAAATCTCCAGTCATCTCAGCCAACATTTCAGCTAGAAGGTCCTTTTGTTTACATCTCTCTACGTCCTCTGTGCTGCGAAATAGAAAGGCAGAACGCTTAAAGAAACCCATGCTCAGCGTTAAAAGTTCACAACGAGAAAACAATTACAAATATTGAACCCACTGATAAGGTTATCAATATCAATCAGTGCTATAAACAAAATGCCTGACACCTCCTAAAATGTCACAGTTAGAGTAATGGCAGAGGGAGTGTTGCTACCCCTGCCCCCCTCTGGATGGGAAACTAGGCCATGGCAGGCTACCCTTCCCATTCAGTCATCCCTAGTGACACCCCATTGAGATCATACCGTGATGAATCCAGCATTGATAGATTTGACAGGTTAGGTTCCTCGGGAGGAGCAATTTATAACATGTGGCAGAGGGTGCATGAAAAATATGTACAAACAGAAGTTGCAACCTCTGGAATAAATCATCACATGATCTGAAATGGTTGACATAGAAGACTGTAAATACAAATCTAGATTGTTTCTTTTTATTGTCTTTTTGCTAAAGAGGCAATGTGACATCAAACTCTACACAATCCATTATGTTAACCTCAAGACCACTGCATCTCCCACAAGACATAACATGTATGCTTCACCATTAATTTACGCAGCTTTTGTTAATTTTCTGTGGATAGACATTGCACAGGAACTCATAGGATCAGGATCAAGATCCTGTAGAATCTTATAACATTAGTTACTCTGATTAGGGTAGGAGTTACTGTGGTGTGTAGAAATAATTATGGTTATGATCAGTCTCCATCTAAAACAGACCACATCTTATATTAAAGATCTACATATACAAGTGACCAACCCATACCTAATTGGATCTTTAGTCATCATAAGATGCCAGGCTAATTTCATTTTTTGCCATATACTCAAAGCAGCCATTGCCCTAGAAAGAGTCACCTGAGGAGAAAGACAGGTACCATTAGTATAACTGTTTACAAGTGTCTCACACAAATTAATGTACAATGTAATCTAATCATGCTCTAAGTACAACAATACACTACATTAACCCAGTCACCTTTCTCAAAAAACAGTGGCATTAAAGGAAAACCCTGGTAAAAAAAAACATCCTTTGTTTGGTAAATTTACAGTTTCATCACACCACAAGAAGCTTCAGGCACAAGAATAGAGAGTGAAAAAATTGGCAAAGGGGATATTACATGGCACAAAATTGTACATGAAACAAATTTATGTATCCTGTACCTGAATGGGACGATCTCCTAAATGAATTTGACATCCTGGTATCTTCCTAGCCTATAAAATTAGATACAATGTAACTCTTGCAGACCACAATCACTAGCACAATATTTCCACTCTTCACTCTAGTCATGTTAAAACTGTTTTAATCTTACCTCTCTATAAGCTGCTCTAAACTCTCCACCTGGGGCCATTCCTAGGTGCTTGGTTATGTGCGCTGACACACTGAGTAAAAGAACTTGCATCACTCCAGCTATTACCCCACTCTAAGAGCAAAAAAAATCATGGAAAAATCATGTGCATAGTTCCTAAATTGAATAAGTCAATCATGTTTTTATATATATGCAGAAACTACAGAGTATTGTAGTGTAGAAAATGAAGAAATTTTTCTCTCAGATTAGAGGGTATGATCTAACAAAATTCCTGGCCCGTAATAAAACCCTTGGCTCTACAACTGAGAAAAAAGGAGAAAATATTGCTTACGATTGGCTAACCAAAGAGGCAAGGTGGGCCCTTCTCTTTCTGTTATTGTAGTTTTACCATTTAATTAAATCCAAATTGAAATCTGTACTTGCATTCCACTCGGTTCAATTCCCATTATGAAGATGCAATTATATTTAAATTTAACACATTTGTTATTATTTCTGTGGGTACAAATGGTTAGGTCATAAACACCAGAGTTGCTTTTTTACCTCTCTATGCACACGACCAGGAATAGTTCACAAGTACACATACAGTGCAATCCTATCATAAAATCAAACATGCACATTGTGGTTTTCGTGATATATAATGGCATCACAGTGTACTTACATGTTTAATAGCAAGTCTCAGCTTTTGCAAGTCTATATTCTTTGCTTCCTTGAGTAAAAATTCTTCATCATATTTAAGAATGTCCACGCGACTTTTGCAAAGCTCAACTAGCACTATGTCAGGCTGGACAGCTTGAATAGTCTGCAAAAAAGTAATCATTGTCACAACTTTTCTGCTATTTTATAACAAATATTGTTGTTTAAAAAATCACTGTTACTTTGTGTCATATATAATTTCAGTACAGAAGTAAAATTTAGTAATTGATGGTCTACGTTCAACAGCAGCAGTTTGTTTCAGTCAACTAGAACTTTTGGAAAGGAATTCAGCAATCTCTCATATGAACAGAAAATCCACAATAGTGATGTACCACAAGAGTCTACCTGATCAGTAACCCACACTTCTATGTCTGGAGAGGACTGTCAGTAAAATTGTTGTTGATTTAAGTGCCACTCCCACTTAAAGTGGTCCACTCGACTTCCCGTCCAAAAAAACTTTCCTTAATTTTTTTCCTATGAAAAGGGTTTAGGACACTTTTAAAAAATAGTTTGGTTGTTTTCCAATTCTCTTTTTTTGCCTCGCCACAAGCGAAAATTGACTTTTGGCTAGACCACCTGTGTAGACAACAATCGTAAGTGTAAATTTCACAGCTTTTGTTGAGCACGCTGCGACTGCAGCAGTGTAGCTAACAGAATTTTCTCTTGCTTCAAGTTACAAGCTCTATTCAGTTATCAGTTAGTTCACAGACAAAATATGGAAACTTCACTAGAAATCCTATTTATACCAGCGCGATCATAAGAGCCCCTTCCTTTCGACCTTAGTTTGCANCCGCGGGTATCTCTCTAGCTTTCATCCACCATCATCTTGAAAACAACGCAAATCAATGTCTTTATTTAATAGCGCACATGTCAAAGCTCATTTGCATAACTCTGAAAATGACCCTTGATATGTCTTTTACCATTCAAACTTCATTTGTTTATCATCACTGTAAAGTGTTTTAGGTTTTCTTTACAAATGGATGGAAAATAAATTGCGAGTCATCCTAAAACGTTGCATAAACATAATCAGTCGTAACGCTTGCATGACAAAGTAAACAAGGGCAATCGGAAGGCACTTCCTCGATAAGTTTCCTTGAATCGGGTCAATAGCCACCTACAGAGTGGAGAAGATAAAACTTAAAGAGTCCAATTTGGCATTCTGGTCATTGCAGACATACTGTGCAGCTTAAAAAGGACACACAAACACATGTACGTTACGGTGTTATTTACAAAACAACCTTCAGCAAGAATTCTTGCAGTTTCTATCGAGGTTTAGCGCACGGAATGCAATCAACAGGCCCTCCTTTCTGAACATTTGCTGCCATCATTAGAGATTTTATGTTGTTACAGTCCTCTACGGTATTGTGGGACAAATTTAACCTTTTCCTGCCACTATCAAAACCAGCCAGGCAAATATTTTTTCCAATTCGAGGCCAAAATGACCGGAACGAAGCAAAATTAAGTTTTACTCGAGGACTTCGCTGGATAGATGGTAGTACTTCAAATGATTTGATACGTCATCCTGGCATTCCAGGAGAGATATCGGGGCTGAGACTCCACTTAAATACCCACACCCACTACAATCTTTGCTTTCCATGAAACATGTAGACATTTTGTGCAATAAATTTCTCAAAACATATCAATAACTGAAGACCCTCTCCTCTCCACTAAACAAACACGTGGGTGACAGACTTATCTAAAGCGAGAGGGGTGGATTGATGTATGCTAGAACCTTCACTCCCTCAAAAATATTGAACAGGGGGGTGAAGGTAGACCAATGTAAGCTCAAATACCATCCCCAATTCTTTTACTTCAGTTCATTTGTAACTTTTGGTTCTAATTCGTTACATTTATTTAACTACTTATAAGTTTCAATTTACATACACGCGAAACAAGTCATGGAATGAATGGACTGGTTAGCATAATCACGTCATGCAACATACCAGGCTGAATTTGCTTCGAAGGGAAAGATTAAGCTTGTTCCTCAAGAACTTTGTGGACTGTAAAAACATAAAATCTCTAATGATGGCAGCAAATGTTTGGAAAGGAGGGCCTGTTGATTGCATTCTGTGTGCTAAACCTTGGTAGAAGCTGCAAGAATTCTTGTGGAAGGTTGTTTTGTAAATAACACCGTAACGTACATGTATTTTAACTTGTTTGTGTGTCCTTTTAAGCAACACAGTATGTCTGCAATGATCAGAATGCCAAATTCGATTCTTTAATTTTGATCTCTGTACATGGCTATTGACCTGATTCAGGGAAAATCATCGAGGAAGCGCCTTTCGATCGCCTTTGTTTACTTTGTCATGCAAGCTTTATGACTGATCATGTTTATGCAACATTTTAGGATGATTCGAATTTATTTTCCATCTAATTTTTATGAAAACCTAAAATACTTTACGTAGAAGACAAACAAGTGAAGTTTAAATGGTCAAAGACATATCTTGGTCATTTTTCAGAATTATGCAAATGAGCTTAGACACGTGCGCATTTAAGGAAAGACATTGATTTGCGTTGTTTTCAAGATGACTGTGGATGAAAGCTAGAGATACCCATGGGTTTGAGGTAATCGGTAACCTCTTTGGTGTATAAGCTATCCTCCAATATGTCTTTTAGCCCAATTTACGCCTGCATTTTGAGAATTCTTTGTTTTAAATTGGTTAATTTTTGATATGCAAATTAAGGTCGAAGGGAAGGGTCTCTTCTGTTCACGCTGGTGTAAATAGCATTTCAAGGTAAGTTTCCATATTTTGTCTGTGAACTGACAGAATATAGCAGGTAACTTCAAGCAAGAGAAAATTCCGTGAGCTACACTGTTGCAGTCGCAGCGTACTCGACAAAAGCTGTGAAATTTACACTTGCGATCGTTGTCTACACGGGTGGTCTAGCCAAAAGTCAATTTTCGCTTGTGACGAGGCAAAAAAAGAGAATTGGAAAATAACCAAATTATTTTTGAAATATGTGTCCTAAACCCTTTTCAAAGGAAAAAAATTAAGGAAAGTTTTTTTGGACAGGAAGTCGAGTGGACTGCTTTTAGCGGGAGTGGCACTTAAGTCATTTGGTATTTACCTTTGCCACATCATCTTGGCTTTCCTTACTAAAGTGAGCAGTTCCAACAAGATAAACTTTACAGCCTTCAGGAGTTTCAAGCTTCGTTACCGTATCAGGGAGCTCTGGGCTTGAGCTTCTTCTCAATCTTTGGATGTTCATTAGAAGTTCTTCAGATAAACTGACATCCTGGGAGGTTTCTGGCTCACGAGGCATTCCTGTCATGAAGAGGAAACTAAAATGAATTCTCAAGAACAAAGTGAAAGAAAAAAAAGCCCATTGATTAGCCTATGCTGATGTTTACTTACGTCTGAAATCCTATATTTAAAATTTCACTAAATGAGATTTTAAACATTCCTCTTTTACCACAGTTTGAAATTTGCAAATTTATCTCTGGATTGGAAGAACAAGATTATTCACTTCAATGAAAAGAGATAGTTTTGAAGAGCATATAATTGTACAAATGTATTTCTAAGACTTACCTAAACAGCTTTTTGATATACTCATATTGTTCGCATAATTGGCAAGTATTAATATACATGTATCATTCACATATGACAACTAAAATAAAGTAACATAAAATTCAAACAATTTAATACCCTCTTTTTACATATTTTTATTGCTGGACTCAACACTTAATTCTAAAAATTAAGGTAAGTCTAGGTAATTTTTACCCAAGAATTATTTGATATAGTACATGTAAAATGACACCTTAAAAAAAGGGCCAATCTTCTCTTTTCTATCAGAGGTTCATGCTTTATAATGTTTGGTTACCATGATTATTTTAAAATTTGGAGTGTTTTCAGACAGAGCAAAATCAAATTCCAAGTGGGATAGAAACATTTGCAAACAAAGAAATAATATTTCTTTGTTTGCAAATATTATTGTTGCAAATATTATTTGAAAAGCACCATGTTTATAAAATGTACCTGGAGGGGTTTCCTGTCCTTCATGTTCCTGCACAATGTAAAAAGATGAGTTTTCTGTCGGTTCTACAAGGGTCAATCCTTCAGGAGTCTCTATCACCATGAGCTGTTCATCCTCCACCTCATCACTGTCACTAAAGCTTTCATCATTTCTTCCTTCCCTTGCATCTTCAAAATTAAGATTATCATCTCCATCCTCACTCTGTACCTCTTGGCTACTTTCAGGTTTTTGTTCTGAAATGTTTGTTCAAAATGAGAAAATAATCATGTTAATGTGAGAAACTATATTTGGACATATAAAATAAACTAGTTAATTTATGGGTAATATTTGCAAAAATTTGTTTAAGGGGCAGGCACGTTGGTCCCATGGTTTGTTCAATTGACCCTGAGAGAACAGTCAGCATTCAAGACTTAGCCACCAAGTCATTATGCTGTGTTGGCAAGAACCTTTGCACTAAATAAATTTGAATTTGACTGTTATCTGTGCCTGGGGAGTGGGAATTTGAACTTTGGGTGAGCTAATAATTAAAACCCGGAGTGTCAAGTCTTTTCAGCATAGTACACATATTTTAATTCTAAAGGAGCAATTTTATGGCAAAGGGTCTGCATTTTTCGAGGGAATGGCATAGAAGAGAAAACTTAACCATTGTAGAATGATGCTTAGACTAACATGTGACTTTACTAAATTCTACAACATTCATTTATCACACAAAGAATAGTGAATAAAAGATTAGGCTTGAGTGAGACTTAGGAACAAAATTTTGGCCTGGAAGAGGAGGAAGAGGGATATGAATTAACCAATCTTCAAAATTTCAAATGCCCATGGGGTTGCCAGGGGGATCAGTGTTGAAGCTTTGAAGCGATTAACAGATAACAGTGTCTTGCTCCAACTTGGAGTGTAACTCATTATGCCAGATTTTTTTAGGGTACCTGGCAACCTTTTGGAAAGAGTAGCATGCATTGGACTACCATCACATCCAGGAACAATAGGAGCACTCCAATCAATTCATGCCACAGTGCATCAACACTAGACAGTTCTCCTGGTTGTTTTATGTCACAGAAACCAAATCTGACTCATATTTTGACTTTTGGTTGGCATTTTATGGCCCTTTAAGACCCACCTGTCTTGACCAAAATAATTTTTAATAGCAAAATATACATGCATCCATAGCAACCAGACAACTCCTTGTTACTTACTACCACTAAAATATTAGCTTACCAGTTGGTAAGACTTTAAACTGAGCTGAACGTTAGTTTTAGGGAGTTAGTACATTATTAGTTCAAAGACTCTATTTAAAGTTAACTAATTTTCAGAGAAAGCCTTTTTATTCTTGGTAATATCGAGTATATATTTTGGTAATTCAAATTCTGAGAAGCTATGCCGACATCAATATTTATTTCGTAAGCTTAGATCGAAAAGATACAAAGGACAGCTATGAAATCAATCATATCCATTCGAAAGACAATGTAAAAAATATCGCGATTCCTATATGTATTTTAGAACAATGAAGACCAGGGAAAACAACTGCCACAGATGTAAGTCTAACATCCTAAAAGTCGATCGAGAGTGGGCTGAAAACGCAAATTACGAAAACTACGGTAATTGAGACATGAAACAACAAAAGAGTTGTAGGAAATTTTAACTATTTTAGCCTCCAGTTATTTGTTAAAGGTTTAAAATCCCTCTGGCTTTCGCTGGATCACAATTCACCGCCAAATTTCAAATACTTACCATTTATTTCACGTGACGTTCTTTGATCTCGATCGCCTGTATCAGAGTCTGTGTCAGCCATTTTTGTTTTGTTGATGAATCACCGTTTAGAAGGAGCTTATATAAAGTGATCACCCATTGGTGAAACTCAAGGAGTCGTGTATCAAAGAATCTTTTATCCAATCAAAAGCTCTGTTAGTACGAAGGTTTCGAGGGTCTCAGCGGTTCGTACCAAGTATGCTTCAGCTGAGGAATATCAAATCATTAATTTTCATAGACACGAAGAAAATTCGACGAAATTAGATATAAGGGTCAGTTCATAAGAAATGGGAAACATAGAATCAAGCTCTAAAGTTAATGTGGGTCAACTTCAAGGTTTGAGCTCTCGAGAGCTTAATATAAGTCGATCATTGGGATACGAGGAATATCAACAGGTAACCTTTAATTTGGAGCATAAGTTATGAATTTATTTGGAGGTTATCGCCTTGTTGTTTGGGTGATCGGGTGTTCCTAAATACCGATCTCCTTCATTTACTGATAGTTAATCGTAAAACTCTGTATGATTAAGTTCTGTTCATGTTATGTTATTTAGTCATTAAAAATTAGCGTCTAAAGTTAATACATACTTGAGAGTCAAAAAGCCATTTAATAGCGTGAAAATTATGGTAGCGTTGAAAGGTCATGCGATTATAGAATAAGCCACTTTGGCTACTTGTCATTAGCCTACTCAACTGAGCTATTTGTAGTTACGGTAGAATAACATTCCCAGCGAAAATGTTCGGTGAATTACTTGTGGAGCGCAATATCGAATCGCAATTATGTTATTTTCAATTGTCTAAGGTATGAAGAGGAAACAAATGCATTATGCATATTGGTGGATCATTCATTCTTGCGAATTTATTCCCTGTTTGAAGTATCCCTCCCCTTTTTTGATTTATAGCCAATAGAAAATGAATAATTATGTATGAATCTGTGGCTGGGACTTTGGCGGAGGAAAAAACTAGACAAATTCCAAGCCTTGAGAAATATTACTACTGGGTAGCAGCAAACTACACGTATTGTGAAAACTTGACGGATTGCATACAACTCGATAGAATTTCAAGCTTTCCAGGAAAAGAAGCAATTCTTCAACCCATAGTCATATAATTAATATTCCGGTTACTGGGATGAGCTCAGAGGTTGAGAAGAATGGACCTTAAAGCTCATAGCTTTAAAATTTATTTAACCTTTTCACTCCTAAGTTCTCATTCAAGTCTCCTCATTGTCCTCCATACAACCATTATTATGTTGGTTTGCAGAATTTGGTTTTGAATCAACCAATGATCCCCTAATTGATTTTTCTTTATTCTCATAACTTGTCTGCTTGATATTGTATTGATATTGTAAGGAGAAATTCTGTTTTGGTCACTCATGGGAGTTGAGGGTTAAGAATTTAAGATACTAAGTGAAACTAGAGATGTCTACATTTTAGAGCTTAGAAATGTAAGGAAAGTACATGTCTAGATGCTGCATATCAAAGTTATTCTAATGTCTCTGTATGTCTGGTTGCCTTTCATCCAGCATTTAAAGGAAGACAGTTACGATGCACTGGTTGAATTTCCATTTGAGTTGTTGAGCAGTGTGTCATTTTATGAGAGGCTTGATGCATCATTCAACTGTTTTACCTACCTACCATCTGAATTTGCCATCTACTTGCCTCATCTGTCATTTGTTGATTTAAGCCACAACCGCCTCTGTTATTTACCAGATTCCTTTGGTTACTTATTCCACTTGAAGACATTACTGTTAAATAACAACAGGTTACAAGAACTTCCAGAAGCATTTTGTTATCTCGCAAGACTTCAGAAAGTTGATTTGTCACACAACCAATTGAAATGCTTACCGCACAATCTTGGAAGTATGGAGTCACTTCAAAGTTTAAATGTCAGTTACAATGAACTTGATGCATTACCATTAACTTTAGGAAAATCCCAATCTCTCAAGCTGATCTTGGCAATCTTCAACAAGTGTAAATGTCCACCGCAGAAAATTTGTAACCAAGGCTCTGAGTCAGTCTTGGCTTATTTACGTAATCAAAATCCAAAAGAACCAGAAGAAAAGCTGTTAAGTAAAAGCAATGAATTTCCACGTGTCAGGGGTGATGTTTTGGTCCTTGCGCCGTCAAACCCTCACACGGCAAGAACACAGTATGTTCAAACACAAACGAATACAATTGCTACAAGCCGTATTAAGACACCTCTAAGACCACCAGTAAATGCGCATTACCTTCCACCTGATGAACTTGTGGATAAGATTGTTGGTTGTTTGTATGGTGCAGCAGTTGGTGATGCTGTGGGATTATGCACAGAATTTATGATGCCTGATGAGTGCAAGTTTCATTATGATAAGGATTCGCTATTCTGGGAGCATATGGTCAAAGACAGGCACAGAAGTAAATGGCAGAAAGGGGACTGGACTGACTCATTTGACCAAACTGTGAGTCCAGCTCTTTAGAAACAGTTAAAATTTAATTATTTTGCCGGTGTGAAAAGGCATTCCTTGCACATCTTTTGTTTCAAGGTTTTGCAAATGGTAAAGTATCATAATGAGTTTGAAACAAAGGAGAATTATAGTTAAATGTTATTGGTTCTCAATTGTCACTAGTCAGTTGCACAGTCATGGAGCTTTATTGACTCTGCTCAATTATGATGGGGACAGCAATCCAAGCTAAAATGTGTTTAATGCTAGGAGTTTCAAATCAGTTGGCTTTTTATAAACCAAAGATTGTTGACGAGGGGTTCATCTCTAGACACCTCAGAGAAATAAACCCAGTTTGTGGCAGCTATCAATACTCATTTACATGTTTTTAGTTCTTATTAACCGAGCAGGAGGTCTGTATGGGAGAATCTTGACCAAGGTTGCCAGTGCAGACCGAACACAGTGAGGTCTGTACCAGCGACCGAGGTCAAGATTCTCCCATACAGACTGACCCAGCTTGGTTAATAAGATGTTTATTATATGGCTGTGTCTTATATGCCAGTTTTTTATATCCTTTGTACCTTTTTCTTCTAGACCGGTCTAGTCTAGATGGGAAAATCTAGACCGCTTTCAATATTGATTTCAGCCGATCAAATTCGTGAATTCGGTAGTTCCCAGTCCTTGTGAGACACAGCCATATAATAATCTGAAATAATAAAGGGGATAGGTTTCCAAGGAAACTGATGCTGCATTGGCGAGGGGTATTACAAGATAATTTAGTATTATCCTGTGAAATTGATTGATAATGTAAATTCATGAACACCATAAAGAGTTTCTAAAGCTGACATGTCGTGCAATGGACAAAATTATTCTTAGACTAAATTATAAGGCAAAAGGCTGTGTTAACTTTTTTGACAAGAAAAAGATGTGAAGGCTGACCGCTGCATGTACCTTCAACCCTTGTCCCCAGCCCCTTCCACCATCCCATGTACCAGTTATTGAACCTGGAAATACACTTGCGTGGTTGAGACTGTGGTTGGGTCACCGGCAAATCTAGTTTTTAAATGTGGTGTGAGGAAAGTTGAAAGTGTTGTCTGTGTGTGTAAAGTTATTGAGTTAATTAATGTGTTGAAAACAAACAGCCCTTTGATTTAGTCATAGACACTGAGTATTTACACCCACTTTTTCAAATGTAAAAGGTTTTGATCCTTGAGAACATACTTCATTGGGCTGGTGTTGTAGATGAACTAGAGTTTGCTAAGAGCCTTCTTACATGGTGCAAACACGGCTTTCCTGAACTTGGAGATACCGTTGGGAGAGGGGTCAGGGGAGTCATTGCTAAGGTAAGAGATGTTTTTTGCAGGATGTATAAGTCCTTTGTTGCCAAATTAGGGTCCCTTTGATGAAGACACCATCCTCTTTCCTTTTTTGGCTTCTCTTTAGCAGAGTAATGTTTGTCTGGGTGTGCTATCCGCTGATAAATTCTTATTAGCAGTCATTTAGGATTAGCTGTCAATTTTCAAAGATCTTTGCTAAGGTCTGTTCAGAAGTCTTGAGATGTGAAAAGAAATCAACTGAGAACCATTCAAATCTTTTAAGAACTTCTAAACTATAATTTACTAATTGACGACATCCTTAGAAATCCTGTTAAACAGATACTTTCTTACTCTTCCTTGTCAAAACCATTTCCTTGTACCCTGCGATGAAACACTCAAAGTCCCTCAAGTTACAATTCATAACATTTCTGTAGTATATTGCATTAAACAGTGTTGTGCAAATTGCATAGTGTTACCACTGTAAGGAACTTCTTCTTGCTCGATCAATTGCGTCATAAATAAAAGTAAAACAACTAATAGTGAGTATAGTAAATACACTATTTTGGTTATTGAATAAATGGACAGTTGAATCAGAGGAATGAGAGTAGTCACTTGACACATGAATGCTCGACAATTTAGAGTCATCATATTTGATAACATTTCAAGCATAAATGAGAATTCCTTAAATTATCAATAAGGGTAAACTAAAACTCTTAAAAGAAATTTAATGTAGTTTTTGATCATGGTAAACAAGATAAACTTCAGTGAAATTTAAGAAGGTTTGAAGATGGTGAAGATTTTAACAAAATGGACAAATTATTGTGACATAACTCCTTTAAATATCTTTACAGGTTGTTTGTGAACCACAGTTTTTAAGTGATCCCCATGCTGCTGCAAGATCAGTGGCAAACAAATTTGAATCACCCTCTAATGGAGCAGTAATGAGAGTGGCAGCCCTTGGTATTGCTCACTTTCACAACTTAAATGAGGTAGCAACAAATGCAATCAGAATTTGTAAGGCTACTCATTGCGATCCCAGGTAGGAGCTGGCTCCATGGATTGTTTAATGAAACTTTGTAGGCAGTAGTAGGAAAAGAGAAGTCAAAATTTGATGAATGACTCCAATGTTAAGTTCATTCTTCCAAGTTTACTTTTATTTTATCATCCATTGGAAGGACTCAAGGAAACTGAGAGCACTAAGTGGGACTCAGAGAAGGTGGGGAAAGTCATCAACTTTTCCACTCTCGATATCTCATAAGACATTCTCTCTACTGTCTGCCATATGATTCTTATGATGTTAGTTTGGACAATTTGCTGATGGATCAACTTGTAATCCCCTCATGGATGTTTTTCTTTATTGTCTTCACTTGTTTGAGTGATATTGTATTGATGTTGTAAGGAGAAATTCTGTCTCGGTCACTCATGGAAGTTAAAGGTTTTAAGGGATTACAAAAGAATTCTGATCATTTCCCAGTTCCCTCAAAATTGGTATCTCTCATCAACTGGATTGATGTCGTTGCCTGAAACTCACAGTGCTGTTGCATATGCCATTTTGGTTGCATGTTCAATTGGTGTAATGAACTGGGTTAATTAGTCAATACAATTATTTCCATTTGCTTATCTCTTACATTATCCTCTGCCTAATGCCTTGGACTAAAGTATGGACAGGACTGTTGTAGTATTATCTTTCTAATAGTTCCTCCAATATTTTTTTTATTCAATATTTTATGATTTACTGGCACTTTGAATTCTCAGGTGTATTGCAAGCTGTGTTGCTGTGTGCATTGTCATTGCATTGATGTTGCAGGTATATTTTTTAATTTCATCTTTGGCAAATATTTGTTGCAAACAAACCTACCGCCAAGACAAATGTTAAGGAAATATTTTGGAAGGAAATGCGCTGAGAGCAACACTTGTTTCCCTAGGAAATGTGGCACTTCTCATAAGTTTGCTTGTATCAGTAATTCCTGGAGTTTACTAAGGATTCCTCTATCCGAGCTGTAGCCCAAAATACAATAGTTCGTTTGCAAACAATAACAGTATAAATTTTTGAAGTGTTAGTTTATTTATTGTTCCTTGGTTTCATTTTTTATTGCAAGGGGCAACATGAAGTTACAAGCAAGTCTTCCCTTGAAGAATTACTAGAGAAAGCGGAAGAGCAAGGAAAGGTTTACTTGGTCGAACCCTTTCATCAAAAAGACTTTCATCATTATTTTAATTGCCAGACCTGGGAAGAGTAAGTGACCGTTTTTGTGGCCAATTTTTAATTTTGTTTGTTTGTTTGTTATTTTAATCAAGGAACGGTTTATGGTCGATTTTCGGTATTACAACCATCCTTTTCGATAAGTGTCGTAAAGACAGAGTGCAGTAATCACAACGGCCAATCAGAAGAAAGGAAAATACCTCAGAGCCAATGAAAACTCAAAGTAAACCTAAAGCGCAGGAAAACGCGCCCCTGACCAAACTGCTTAAAAGTGCTGGAAAACACTACTCTGACCAAACTGCCTAAAGCGCGAGAAAACGCGACCCCGACCAAACTGCCTAAAGCGCGGGAAAACGTGAGCGACCAAGTCATGATTGGTTTTAGTCTTTCATCTGATTGGTTGAGAGCGTTGCGCGAGTTTTCAGGATCAATCACAAAGCGAAGTACACTGTAAAGCAATCATGAATTCTAATCAAGGGGTGCTTCATTGCAGCGTTGAGTTTTGTGAGCCTCGAATGACAGATTACACTTTAAAGCCTTTAGGAGCTGGTTTGGTAGCACTCAGATCTATGAAAGATTACAAGTAAGTGCGTACGCCTTAACACTTATACCGCATGTACTTATGACCCAGTACATGGTCCTAAAGATATAATTATACATTTTTTTTGAACTTCAAAGCTTATGAGCATTTTTCTCGCAGTAAATTCGCAATGTGAAAGCTGTAGTTGGGACATCGTACACTGCAAAACGAAAAGGAAAAATTTGACCCGAAAAGCGTTTGGGAAGTACGACGGAAATACATATCTATTTGGTGCTGCGTTACAAGGGTTTTGTTGGAGTTGTAGTCGATGCACTTTAGTGTTCGAAAGGGTATTGATGACTCTCCTATTGGGTTTTGAACTGTGTGTGTATATAGTACATTGACCTGTACTTTATCTTTGAAAACCTATGAACTCATAGAGTGCTCATGTCGCACCCCGCAAATCCCAAGATCTAATTATCAAATCTCTGTTCGTCCGAGAAACCTCCAACAAATATGCTCGTTCTGCAGGCTGTGTTCAATCAAATAATATCCCACAGATTTTACTTTTTTTTCTTTCCTGTTTGAAAATGTATCAATACTGTAAAGAGAAATTCTTCTCGTTCACTTCAGAGCGTGAAACTGGGTTATAGTCATTTCTTATTACGCTAACTATGAAGACTTCCCCAGGCTTTAATCTCTCAGACTTCCAAGTATACATATTACGAATTGAACTCAAATTGAACTTGGAAATTCTCTGAGAAGCTTCAGCGAACTTCGCTGAACACGCACATTCAAAAGCATTCTCTTCTGCGCGAACTTCGCGCTCAACTAAACTATCTCAAACAAAAAAGGATAATTAACACGAAACATTGATATTCTAGAATACACGATATTTCACGAATTTCTTAATAACACGTGCACGTGCTATGTGCACTATGATACACAATAGACATGACACCTACAAAGTTGTTGTTGTTGTTGTTGTTTTTTTTTTAACAGGACAACAATAACAGAGCTTGTAATGCAGGGAGGACATGCTACGTGTAACGCAGTTGTGGCTGGGGCCTTGTTAGGCTGTAAACTTGGATATTC